GTTAAATATTTAGCTTGTTAACTAAATATTTAATTTGTAAGTTAAATATTTAGTTTGTAAACTATGACATTTATAAATGTATGAATCATATGGTGAAACACTGACTTTGAAAAATAAATCAGTTCTTTTTTTCTTATAAAAGGCTAAATAAAACAAAAATATTGGTGGTGATTTCAGATTGTGTAACTTTACAAACGGCAGCCCGTACTCGGCTCACCTGAGACGACACACGACTCCTCGCACTCCTCCTTGGTCTGGAAGTTGTTGGCGTTTCCGCCGCAGCCTCCGTACTCGAACAGCTCGCAGAGGCCCGTGTTCACGTTGAAGAAGAACCGGTCCTTGATGGCCTTGCAGGGTCCCGGCTCGTCTCTCATCGCGCACAGTTCGTTAAAGATGAGCGGTTCTTGTGATCGGACCCCTGCGGCGAGAAAAGGAAGCAAAACTTTACAAACCCTTCAAGTTGGAGGGTATTATTTATACGTGTACGGTTCCTCTTCGTTTTAATGTATTTTTACAAACCTGTGAGCACAATCCTCCAGGTTTATTTATTTTAAATTCATTTTTTGAGCTTTAAAGAAAACAAGTTATCAGTGAAGCACCAGCAGAAGGCCTGATGGAGCCAGAAGGCTGCTGCAGGGAGAAAACCGAGCGTTGCAAATTTCCCAGCATGCGCCACACAGCATCATCCTCAAGTGCAGCAAATGGATTCATTTACCACACAGGCTGAGAGACTGGGGTCTTAGATCATCAGCCTCGGTATGAGAGACGTGTTTGTTCTGTTCGCTGGGACACCCAGATCATATCGGTCCTCCACGTAGACAGAAAACAGCTCTAATGTCAGCTTTGGTCCTCYTTTTTCATCCCCCGTTCTGAAAAATGTTCAGTTCCTCTACAAAAGAAAAACCAGACCGTCTCAGCGTGCCGCGGGGACTCTCCTTCATCCCTGTTGTTTCACACGKTCAGACCTCTGTTCTCTAATCTCTGTCCAAACATACAGAGTCTGTTTAAAACACAAGCCCCAAATGTTTTATATCTCATAGATGTAGCAATTTATCAGGCAACGTCAGGAGAAACGGGTGAATTTCTAGTTTTAATCGAGATGTGAGAATCTGTTCATTTTTTTCTGTAAAGTTTCATCAGAAGTCGTCCTTTAGGAGGAAACCTGCAGAAAAACMATCAGTTTCTTCTCCAGGCAGTGTAACGAGGGCAGAGTCCTCGTGACCCGACACCACAGGGACACTTGTCAAACACTCTCATTTTCCTTCCTGACAAGACACCGACCATCGCTGCAGGAGTTCCCCTCTTCCTGCAGACTGTGATGAATTCAAAATCAACAGGTCCTAAACAACCATTTAGAGAAAAGATGGAAATTTACTCTCGTTTCTTATCGATTAAATGCTTTAAGCTCCCGACAGCTGCAAGACAGCAGCTCCTTTTAAATATAATCGACAAATACGGACAATGTACCGATGGGTATTTGTGAAAGTTGTATAAATAAGACGGTTCAATACGGTGGGATTTGTCTGTCTGAGGGGAGGACAGAAAACAACTCCTTATTGATTTCAGCTCTTCCTGTCTGAGCCGAGCCGAAGTACAATCAGAAATGTGTTCCTCAGTCGTTCAGACGAGCAGATGGCAGCGACAGCAGTGGATTTATTACATTTGAAAGGAAACCACAAAGAGGGCAAATGTGCACCCGCTTCAAACCCATCAGGCTAATGTTTTCATCACCGCGGGGCTTTAAAAAGCATTACATTTGAATCTCAGTGGCATTAAACAAATGCTGAATTAATTGTAGCTGTAATGTACATTAGAGGAACACGTAGAACCATTTCAGTAATTATTTCTGGGTGGTCGGTGTGCAGTTGTTGAAAGTTAGCATGCTGGAGGGATATGGTGCAGTATGAGGGCCAAAATTAAGACAATTGCGCAACCTGCGGTTGCTAGATCCTTATAGCAGGAGGCTATATCTATTCCGAAGAGACTAGCATGGATAAGCTGGTGTTAGCATTGGAGAGGCTAGCGACTAGCATGGATAAGCTGGCATTAGCATTGGAGAGGCTAGCGACTAGCATGGATAAGCTGATGTTAGCATTGGAGAGGCTAGCGACTAGCATGGTTAAGCTGACGTTAGCATTGGAGAGGCTAGTGACTAGCATGGATAAGCTGGTGTTAGCNGGATAAGCTGGTGTTAGCATTGGAGAGGCTAGCGACTAGCATGGTTAAGCTGACGTTAGCATTGGAGAGGCTAGTGACTAGCATGGATAAGCTGTGTTAGCATATGAGAAGCTAGTGACTAGCATGGATAAGCTGGTGTTAGCATCAGAGAGGCTAGTGACTAGCATGGATAAGCTGGTGTTAGCATGTGAGAGGCTAGTGACTAGCATGGATAACCTAGTGTTAGCATTAGAGAGGTTAGTGATTAGCATGGATAACCTGGTGTTAGCATTAGAGAGGTTAGTGACTAGCATGGATAAGCTAGCATCAGCAATGGAGAGGCTAGTGACTCACTAGATCACCAACTCCCCCTGTTGTC